AGACAGACCCCGGTGTGTGATCCGCTCCAGACCGGGAGAACGTAGAGACAGACCCCGGTGTGTGATCCGCTCCAGACCGGGACTATGGTTCAGCACACGGAACATGGCGGGCTCCGGACCCACAGCGTGTCCCATCCCGGGGAGAGTGAACTGCTGCCGGCCTCGGCTCGCAGCTCCGTGCCGCTGAAACCGGACTGGTGTAAGACCGCGTCCGGTCACATCAAGCGGCCCATGAACGCCTTCATGGTCTGGTCTAAGATCGAGAGGAGGAAGATCATGGAGCAGTCCCCCGACATGCACAACGCAGAGATCTCCAAGAGGCTCGGGAAGCGCTGGAAGATGTTAAAGGACCCCGAGAAGACCCCGTTCATCCGGGAGGCGGAGCGGCTCCGGCTCAAGCACATGGCCGACTACCCGGACTACAAGTACCGGCCCAAGAAGAAGCCCAAGACCGAGGGGGGGGGAGCAGGTCCTGCGGGGAAACCTGCCGCTCAGTCCCCCGACAAACCGGCCGTCAGAGCCGGGAACAAGACCCCCACTGCCGCCAAAAAACACCACAAGTTCAAACCCAGCAAACTGGGGGTCGGTCCGGTCCGGGCCGGGAGCCACATCCAGCAGCACCCCCGGTACCAGCAGCAGGACCCCCGGTACCGGTACGTGTTCACCAGCAGTAAGCTGGTTAAACGGGAGTTTACTGATGATGAAGATGATGATGATGATGATGAGGACTCTGAGGAGGACTCTGAGGAGGAGCAGGACTTTAAAACAGAGGAGGGGGACTGCAGCCTGAGCCCCCGCCCTGCAGAGTCCTCCGGTCGGCTCTTCTACAGTTTTAAGAACATCACCCGGCAGGGGGGGGGGGGCTCCCTCTCTCCTGCCAGCTCGTCCCGGTCCGGCTCCTCCTCGTCCTGCTGCGGGGAGGACCTGGACGACCCCCCCGCTGAGGGCTCTGACTTCACCCTGAACCTCCTGGCCGGCCTGCACGCCTCCTCCGAGCCCTGGAACTCGTCATGCAGCTCGGTCCCCCCGGGGAACCTGAGCCTGTCCCTGGTGGATCAGGACCTGGACTCTGTGAGCAGCGAGGGCAGCCTCGGGTCCCACTTCGAGTTCCCGGATTACTGCACCCCGGAACTCAGCGAGATGATCGCAGGGAACTGGCTGGAGGCCAACTACACGGACCTGGTGTTCACGTACTGATCCCCGAGGGGGGCGGAGCCGCGGGGGGGGACTGATCACTATTTTCTGGTTTTGTGTAGTCCGGGTCTGAAGGTAGTCCGGGTCTGAAGGTAGTCCTCACGGGTTTTCTAACTTAAAGTTATTTAAAAATGAAACTTATATTTTTAATAGAATTCAGACAGGAGGACTTTTTGTTGCCATGGTAACAGACAGGATCAGACTCTGTGTTCCCCCAGGACTTCAGGACCCTTTAAATCCTTTATTTGGTATGGGGGGGTGTGACAGGAAGCGTTTTGAACATAACCGGACAAACCTCATGTTTTTATGTTTTTATGTTTTTTTACAGAGATGAAAATATTTTCAGGATTATTTTTGTACCTTCAAAGGGACCGATCAGGCACTTCTTCTTCTTCTTCTTCTTTTGTTATTGAGCATGTGCGGATTCGAACCCAGCAGCCGCTTGCGGTGTACATGTGTAAATTAGTCTTAAAGTTTAGGATGTCTATAGTGTGAATGTTTTTGATGTCATCGCTGCACGCCCTCGTTTGATTGGCTCATTATTTCTGTGCAATATGAAGAGAATAAAGGAGCGGCCATGTTTGTAGGCGTTCACTCGTCCTTCATGATGAACTGTGTGTGTGTGTGACCACTGAATAAATCAGCTGGAACTGACACCGCTGCGCTGTCTGATTCTTGATCTCTGATTGGTTAATGGTTTCTTAAAGGGCCAGTGCTCTGTTTAACTCTGGTGTAAATTGTCTTTAGGTCGTGGTCAGGTTCTCTGAAAACCAATGTCTGCCATGAGGTACCAAACTGAAGAACCAATCAGACGCCTCCCTGTCTTCCTGCTCGCTCTCTACCTCAGTTTACTCGCCGCCATGACCACTGATTGGTTCAAAGAATCTTCATGGTCACTTCCTGTTTAAAGTCTGCTGTCACATTAACCTGACCAATCACACGACGGCTACCCTGATGACACCGTGCACACACAGACTGTGGAAAACCCAGACGAGGTCAGACAGGGCCAAGTGCCTGCTTCCTGTGTGTGTGTGTGTGTGTGTGTGTGTGTATGTAAGCCATGTTAAAACAGGCTGTTGACACACCACAACAGTCTAACAGTTCTACAGAGAATAACACTCTCTGAAACTGATCAGTTCTCATGATTTGTTGTATAATGTAAAATTAATGTTTTTGTCTCAGGAGTTTAATAACAGAGATGAACAAATAACAACAAATGAATGATCTGCAGTTCCTCCAGAGTCCACTAGAGTCTGTCTCCTGCAGTGAGTCAGTCCCCAAAGAGCCACATGTTATAATGTCCAACTTTACAGCTGCAGTTCCTCCAGTGTCCACTAGAGTCTGTCTCCTGCAGTGAGTCAGTCCCCATAGAGCTCTATGTTAAAAAGGACAACTTTACAACTGCAGTTCCTCCAGTTCCTCCAATGTCTGCTAGAGTCTGTCTCCTGCAGTGAGTCAGTTCCCTTAGAGCCCAGTGTGAAAGTTTCCAACTAGGAAGTTGCAGTTCCTCCAGTGTCCACTAGAGTCTGTCTCCTGCAATGAGTCAGTCCCCATAGAGCTCTATGTTAAAAAGGACAACTTTACAACTGCAGTTCCTCCAGTTCCTCCAATGTCTGCTAGAGTCTGTCTCCTGCAGTGAGTCAGTCCCCTTAGAGCCCATGTTAAAATGTCAACTTTACAGGTGCAGTTCTCCAGTGTCCACTAGAGTCTGTCTCCTGCAGTGAGTCAGTTCCCTTAGAGCTCAGTGTTTAAGTTTCCAACTAGAAAGTTGCAGTTCCTCCAGTGTCCACTAGAGTCTGTCTCCTGCAATGAGTCAGTCCCCATAGAGCTCTATGTTAAAAAGGACAACTTTACAACTGCAGTTCCTCCAGTTCCTCCAATGTCTGCTAGAGTCTGTCTCCTGCAGTGAGTCAGTCCCCTTAGAGCCCCATGTTAAAATGTCCAACTTTACAGGTGCAGTTCCTCCAGTGTCCACTAGAGTCTGTCTCCTGCAGTGAGTCAGTTCCCTTAGAGCTCAGTGTTTAAGTTTCCAACTAGAAAGTTGCAGTTCCTCCAGTGTCCACTAGAGTCTGTCTCCTGCAATGAGTCAGTCCCATAGAGCTCTATGTTAAAATGGAAAACTTTACAACTGCAGTTCCTCCAGTTCCTCCAATGTCTGCTAGAGTCTGTCTCCTGCAGTGAGTCAGTCCCCTTAGAGCCCCATGTTAAAATGTCCAACTTTACAGGTGCAGTTCCTCCAGTGTCCACTAGAGTCTGTCTCCTGCAGTGAGTCAGTCCCCATAGAGACCCATGTTAAAATGTCAAACTTTAAAGCTTCAGTTCCTCCAGTGTCCACTGGAGTCTGTCTCCTGCAATGAGTCAGTCCCCATAGAGCCCCATATCAAAATGTCCAACTTTACAGGTGCAGTTCCTCCAGTGTCCACTAGAGTCTGTCTCCTGCAGTGAGTCAGTCCCCATAGAGCCCAGTGTGAAAGTTTCCAACTAGGAAGTTGCAGTTCCTCCAGTGTCCACTAAGAGTCTGTCTCCTGCAATGAGTCAGTCCCCATAGAGCCTATGTTAAAAAGGACAACTTTACAACTGCAGTTCCTCAGTTCCTCCATCGTCTGCTAGAGTCTGTCTCCTGCAGTGAGTCAGTCCCCTTAGAGCCCCATGTTAAAATGTCCAACTTTACAGGTGCAGTTCCTCCAGTGTCCACTAGAGTCCGTCTCCTGCAGTGAGTCAGTCCCTTAGAGCTCAGTGTTTAAGTTTCCAACTAAAGTTGCAGTTCCTCCAGTGTCCACTAGAGTCTGTCTCCTGCAATGAGTCAGTCCCATAAGCCCCATGTTAAAATGGAAAACTTTACAACTGAAGTTTCCCAGTGTCCACTAGAGTCTGTCTCCTTCAGTGAGTCAGTCCCCATAGAGCCCCATATTAAAATGGACAACTTTACAGCTGTAATTCTCCAGTGTCCACTAGAGTCCTGTCTGCTGCAGTGAGTCAGTCCCCTTAGAGCCCCATGTGAAATTTCCAAATAGAGTTGCAGTTCCTCCAGTGTCCACTAGAGTCTGTCTCCTGCAGTGAGTCAGTTCCCTTAGAGCCCAGTGTGAAAGTTTCCGACTGGAAGGTTGCAGTTCATTCCAGTGTCCACTAGAGTCTGTCTCTGCATGAGTCAGTCCCATAGAGCCCCATGTTAAAATGGACACTTTACAGCTGCAGTTCCTCCAGTGTCCACTAGAGTCTGTCTCCTTCAGTGAGTCAGTCCCATAGAGCCCCATGTTAAAATGCACAACTTTACAGCTGCAGTTCCTCCAGTGTCCACTAGAGTCTGTCTCCTTCAGTGAATCAGTCCCCATAGAGCCCCATGTTAAAATGTCAAACTTTAAAGCTGCAGTTCCTCCAGTGTCCACTGGAGTCTGTCTCCTGCAATGAGTCAGTCCCCATAGAGCCCCTCATATAAAATGGAACAACTTTAAACACTGAAGTTCCTCAAGTGTCCACTAGAGTCTGTCTCCTGCAGTGAGTCAGTCCCCATAGAGCCCCATATTAAAATGGACAACTTTACAGCTGTAATTCCTCCAGTGTCCACTAGAGTCTGCTTGCTGCAGTGAGTCAGTCCCCTTAGAGCCCCATGTGAAAATTTCCAAATAGAAAGTTGCAGTTCCTCCAGTGTCCACTAGAGTCTGTCTCCTGCAGTGAGTCAGTTCCCTTAGAGCCCAGTGTAAAAGTTTCCGACTGGAAGGTTGCAGTTCATCCAGTGTCCACTAGAGTCTGTCTCCTGCAATGAGTCAGTCCTCATAGAGCCCCATGTTAAAATTGACAACTTTACAGCTGCAGTTCCTCCAGTGTCCACTAGAGTCTGTCTCCTTCAGTGAGTCTGTCCCTTTAGAGCCCCATGTTAAAATGCACAACTTTAACAGCTGCAGTTCCTCCAGTGTCCACTAGAGTCTGTCTCCTTCAAGTGATCAGTCCCATAGAGCCCCATGTTAAAATGGACAACTTTACAGCTGCAGTTCCTCCAGTGTCCACTAGAGTCTGTCTCCTGCAATGAGTCAGTCCCCATAGAGCTCTATGTTAAAATGTCTAACTTTACAGGTGCAGTTCCTCCAGTGTCCGCTAGAGTCTGCTTGCTGCAGTGAGTCTGTCCCCATAGAGCCCCATATTAAAATGGACAACTTTACAGCTGTAATTCCTCCAGTGTCCACTAGAGTCTGTCTCCTGCAATGAGTTAGTCCTCATAGAGCCCCATGTTAAAATGGACAACTTTACAGCTGCAGTTCCTCCAATGTCCACTAGAGTCTGTCTCCTGCAGTGAGTCAGTCCTCATAGAGCCCCATGTTAAAATGCACAACTTTACAGCTGCAGTTCCTCCAGTGTCCACTAGAGTCTGCTTACTGCAGTGAGTCAGTCCCCATAGAGCTCTATGTTAAAATGTCTAACTTTACAGGTGCAGTTCCTCCAGTGTCCGCTAGAGTCTGCTTGCTGCAGTGAGTCTGTCCCCATAGAGCCCCATATTAAAATGGACAACTTTACAGCTGTAATTCCTCCAGTGTCCACTAGAGTCTGTCTGCTGCAGTGAGTCAGTCCCCTTAGAGCCCCATGTGAAAATTTCCAAATAGAAAGTTGCAGTTCCTCCAGTGTCCACTAGAGTCTGTCTCCTGCAGTGAGTCAGTTCCCTTAGAGCCCAGTGTGAAAGTTTCCAACTGGAAGGTTGCAGTTCATTCAGTGTCCACTAGAGTTTGTCTCCTGCAATGAGTCAGTCCTCATAGAGCCCCATGTTAAAATGGACAACTTTACAGCTGCAGTTCCTCCAGTGTCCACTAGAGTCTGTCTCCTGCAGTGAGTCAGTCCCCTTAGAGCCCCATGTTAAAATGCACAACTTTACAGCTGCAGTTCCTCCAGTGTCCACTAGAGTCTGTCTCCTTCAGTGAATCAGTCCCATAGAGCCCATGTTAAAATGACAACTTTACAGCTGCAGTTCCTCCAGTGTCCACTAGAGTCTGTCTCCTGCAATGAGTCAGTCCCCATAAGCTCTATGTTAAAATGGAAAACTTTACAACTGCAGTTTCCTCCAGTTCCAATGCTGCTAGAGTCTGTCTCCTGCAGTGAGTCAGTCCCCTAGAGCCCCATATAAAAGGACAACTTTACAGCTGAAGTTCCTCCAGTGTCCACGAGAGTCTGTCTCCTGCAGTGAGTCAGTCCCCATAGAGCCCCATGTTAAATGTCTAACTTTACAGTGCAGTTCCTCCAGTGTCCGCTAGAGTCTGCTTACTGCAGTGAGTCTGTCCCATAGAGCCCCATATAAATGACAACTTTACAGCTGTAATTCCTCCAGTGTCCACTAGAGTCTGTCTGCTGCAGTGAGTCAGTCCCCTTAGAGCCCCATGTGAAAATTTCCAAATAGAAGTTGCAGTTCCTCCAGTGTCCACTAGAGTCTGTCTCCTGCAGTGAGTCATTT